CCCCCATCCCACTGGGTGAGGGGAAGTGAGTGAGCGGCTGCATGGTGCTTAGTTACCGGCAGGGGTAAACCATGACATGTGCTTGTAAGAATCAAGATAGGACTTAAAGTAACTGGAAAGAAAGGAAAGAAAGGGAACTACTATATGAGAAAATACTGACAAAAAGACAAATGATAACCCTATGCTGTTTATTTGAACAAATCAATAGGCTGTTCACACAAATAACTTCCTTAAAAATGTAGGTTGATGTTTTCACTTGGAAGCGAACAGTGATGTGAAATAATGGTTAAACCCCCATTAGTCATTCTTTATTTATTAAAGCTTCTTCCAAGATATTGTCAAATTGCATCTAATAATCTCTTTGGAAAAAAGGAATAGTTCTGGACAAAGGGAAATAACAATATGTGGAATAATAGTGATGCAGAAAAGAGATAAAACCCAGGTATTTTACAAAAATACATGAGGATTAACTATTTTTAGTATCTGGAAAGGTTTGGATGCAATTATCTGTGATAAAATAGGTAAGGTAGGTCCTGTTTGTATGCCATAAAAGCAAAACAAAAAAAAACCCCAACAGCAAGGAAAAACACTGCCCAAGAGGCCTCTGATCCTTTTTTCAATTTCATAAACGCCCACCTAAAATTTATTCCATTTGTTTTTAAACTGCAGCACTGAAAAAGGCAGATCAAATTTCCAACATTCAGAAGAGGATTTTTATAATGTAATATAGCTACAACAAGATAGCAAAATTGATTTATGTCATAGTTTACGAGGAATATCAAACACTTACAAAAGCAAAGAAGAAAACCACTTTCTTTCTCACAGTCCAGAGGCAAACCCTCAGAAGATGTAAACAATCAAAGATTTGCTCCAATGGAAGTATAACAATTTATATCAGCTCAGGACAACTCCTGTAATTCTTTGCATGTCTAGAGAGACATTAGGTTTATTTTAGGAATTCTCTGAATCATGAATTGATTAAATAAAGGAAAATAAAATTTTCCTGTATGCGATGGAAATAGCAAGAAGGAAAACATACTCTCTCACAGACCTCAGAAAAAGAAAAAAAAAGGATCATGTTTAAAAAAAAAGATCATGTTTAAAACATTTTCTTAGCATTTTCTAGAACATCAACCTCTTTCACACAGTACAAAAAGATCTGTGTTTACATCCTAACAGATGTTACATATATGGAAGGGGATCAGAAAATATTTTTTAGATATAAATTTTGATACAGAAAGTGACAAACATACAAGATAGAAATCATAATGACTCTTACATATCCTAAAGCTGATC